TATATTCTGTCTGCATGGCACAGACCAGTTAGGATTAGATAAGGCTTTTTTGGTTGTTTTGGGTTTAACATGAGTTAATAGAAGTGTGGGTTGTAGGCGTGGTTTGACTATTCCATCTTTTGCTCTTGTTGTCATAGGGTGAACATTGTGAGGGTGAATGAATGGAGATGAAGTGGATTCAAGAGTAGGCGATGTGGGAATGGAGAAATTGGATGGAGAGATACTCGTGGCAACAACTCGTGTGGTGGAGGATTTAGAAGGCAAGTTTGGTGAGGTTGCTAACGGGAAAGGCGCAGCTTCCATGGTGGATGGGATTGGGTTAGTGGAAGTGGGACTAGTCTCATGTGAAGACGTTGCTAAGAGGTTGGGTGGGGAGGTTTGAGTGTGGGTTACAGTGAGAGGGGCTTGAATAGAGTTTTGGGAGGTGTGCACAGTGGAAGGAGAGAGGGGATCCTGGTAGGGAAACCGTGTTTCATTAAACACAACATCTTTAGAGATATAGAGACACCCGTCAGTTGCAAGACATTTGTACCCTTTGTGAGAAGTGGAATATCCCAGAAAAACACATTCTTGGGATCAAAATTGAAGTTTCTCTTTGTTGTAGGGTCGAAGATGTGGGAAACAAGAGCAACCAAATACTTTAAGAAAGTGATAATCTGGTGGTTGGTGGTAAAAGTCGGTGATATGGAACAACGTTTTGAATGGAGGAAGAGGGAAGTCGGTTGATAAGATAAACGCGGGTGAGAAAGGCATGGTCCCAGAATTGCATAGGTAATTTAGCCTGAGCTAACAAGGTGAGGCCAAGCTCAACAATGTGTCTATGTTTTTGTTTGACAACCCCATTCTGATGATGGGTGTGTGGACATATGAGACGATGTTGGATGCCAACATCATTGAGAGAGGTTGTAAAGGGGCGCTACTCACCACCCCAATCAGTTTGCAATGCTTTGATCGGGTGGTGGTATTGATCTTTAACCATAGCATGAAACTGCTTGAAGATACCAAGGGTTTGGGCTTTATTTTTGAGAAGGTAGATCCATGTAAAGCGTGTGTAAGCATCAACAAAAGTAAGATAGTATTGATAGCCACACGTAGATGTGGCTGGGGCAGGGCCCCACAAAACGCTGAAAACCAATTCAAACGGTGTATTGTAAACGGTTTTGGATAGATTGGAATGTAATCTATGAGATTTACCAAGATAGCAAGAAGTACAAAAATCTGATTTATTATTGTTCACAAACTGAATGTTGAAGTTTCGAAAAACAAGTTTCATTACATCAGCATTAGCATGACCTAATCTGGAGTGCCAAGTGGCAAAAGAAACAGAATTCTTTGCTGCTGTGTTAATGGAAGAGAATCTGGCAGGTTAAAGATGCTAGACAGGTTGTGTGCTGATGGTGGGGATAAGAGCAGGAAATTGGTACAGGTCATCAGGACCACCCGGGCCTTGAAGAAGAACCTCCTTAGTATCTTGTGATTTGACCAAGCAAACGGAGGGGTGAAATTCAAAGAATACAAAATTATCTTTGGAGAATTGACTAACGCTTATGAGATTTTTGGTGATGGGGCGAACAAATAGGAGATTGTTTAGAGCAAAGTGAAACTTAGGATTGGTTGGAGAGGGAAAAGTGGTAACACCTGGAGAATTAATGTGAAGCCCTTGTCCATTACCAATATGGATCTGATTGGGTCCTTCAAAGGGGGTAAATTGTTGAATATTTTGAGAGACATTGGTGACATGATTTGAAGCACCAGAGTCCGGATACCATGTGTTGTTAGCAGAAGAAGAGGATGAGGCAATCATGGCCTGAGGATACGCCTGGGTAGAGTAAAATGAACATGAGGGGTGGGTTGAGGTCTAGGCCCAAGAATGTCGTTTTGATGGAGTGGAAGAGGAGCGGTTTGATTGTTGTACCAAGAACCTGTATATGCATTTTGGTTGGTAGAGGGGTGTGGGGGTGCATCGAGTGAGGAGGATGGAACAAAGCTCTCATCAAACCTGTAATAATAGGAGGAAGCAATATGTCTATACTGATGGCAGACTTGACATTGGAACCCGGCGAATGTGCCTCTTCCACGACCTGCACGGTTAGAAAAATGGCTACTGCGGAAATTAGTGCGACCACCACGATGGTGAGAAAAAGAAGGCCGATTTTCTTGATGTGCAAGATTTGCTTGTGGGTGCGCGAGATTCATGGCCAAGAAGCAAGTTCTCGACTTCATCTATGGATAGAAGGTCAAAACGGCTACTGATGAGAGACACGGTGGATTCATATTCTTCGAGTAAGCCTTCAAGAATGATATCAAGGTGTTCTTTTGGAGAGACAGAGTTGCCAATGGCAATGAGGGCGTCAACAAGGGTTTGAATCCGAAGCACATAGTCTGAAATTGTCTAAGATTGGTACTACGAAGTTCATTACGAAGTTGTCGGGCTTTAGCATTCATATGAGAGTGAAAGTAGGAGTGTATTTTGTCCCAAAGTTGAAAGGATGTTTTGCAGCCAATAACCCGAGTGAGTATGCCTTTGGACATGGAGGATTGCAGCCAGGAAAGCAACAGTTGATCTTGCTGTTCCCAAGCAAGATAAGGTTCAGAGATGCAGCCAGTATCTCGGTCAGCAAGGGTTAGAAACTTCTGGGGAATTTGCGGGTTTACAAGAAAGTGATGAAGGCAAGTGACCTTTGATGACGGGTTCGACTTGTTGGCACCAAAGAAGGTTATTCTTGGTGTCCAGTTTTTCGGATATGGTGTGGGAGAAGGTAAGAGACGGATGGGAATCAGGTGGAGGGTTCTTGGAAGAAACAATGTTAATGGGTGTAGCGTTGATGGGTGGAGGCGATGGTGGTGGAGATGAATCTGTTAGGGGACTGGAGTCAGCCATGAGCAGGTTGTTGGATGAACAGAAGGAGAGAAGGAGAAGAGGATCGAGAAGCTCTATGATACCATAATAGAATTGAGAGAGAGAAAAAGAGAGAGAGCGAAATTGAGAAGATGAGAGAAAGTTTACAATAGGCAAAATATATTTTTCATTAACTAACTAAAAGTAATGCAAGACAGGTTTATATAGAGCCAATTTATATTGGTCTATAATAATGGTAATAAATGTGTACCTGTAATTAAGGAGTAAAACTATACTCCAATATCTAAGAATGCGTAAAACAACATTCCAATGATCAATATGAGGGGCCTGCATGAATTGACTAATAGCAAAAGAAAGATAAGTCTTGTGATTGTAAGATGAATGAGCTTCTCAACCAATCTTCTATATGTCTTTGTGTCTGTGAATGGTTCACGTTGATCAACCATCAACTTTTGGTTAGGATCCATAGTGCTATCGATGGGCTTGTAATCAACCATGTCAATTTCCTTCAAGATATTAATAGCATATTTCCTTTGTGAAATCATAATGCCCTCCTTTGATTGGGCAACCTCAATACCTAGAAAATATTTCAGATGTCCTTGAAAATGACCAAACAGTGTTTCGTCAACTGAGAGATTGTAGTTGCATCATTCTCTATAATCACTATATCATCAACATAAACAATCACATAAACACACCTCCCAAGTGAAGTGTGACAAAAGAAAATTGAGTGATCTCTTTCTCTGTTTTTTCAAACCAAAATTCTGTACCACACTAAGTTTTTCAAACCAAGCTCGAGGAGATTGTTTGAGACCATAAAGGGACCTTCGCAATTTGCAAACTAAACCAGACTCCCCCTAAGCAACAAATTCAAGAGGTTGCTCCATGTAAATCTCCTCCAGCTCCCCATGAAGAAAGGAATTTTTAATGTCTAATTGGTGGAGAGGCCATTGGCGAATAGCTGTCATAGCAAGAAAGAAACGAACTATAGGAATTTTGGCCACAAGAGAAAAGGTATCACCATAATTTAGGCCATAAATTTAAGTATATCCTTTGGCCACCAATCTAGCTTTGAGCCGATCAACTGTACCATCAGGCCCAACTTTAATGGTGTAGACCCATCTACAACCAACTGGTTGTTTACTCGGAGGAAGTGGAACTAACTCCCATGTACCACTATATTAGACAAATTGGTCATCAATGGATGACGACAAACAGTGGAGATCAACGCTGGACAAAACAGGATTGCAGAGCTGCATCAAATCCGGTTTGATACCAACTTGAATATTGAGATTTACAGTTTTGGGAAAAATCAGTGAGTGTTCCTTCACTAATCTGCTTTTTTGTAAATATATATGTTTTAAATAAATATACAATATAGGCTGAAAAGGCTAATAGCCTAAGCCACACATCAACATCAGAAATACACAATATTAAGAACTAAGAAGCTTCCTTAGTAAGCTATTCTAACAATAAGTAATTTAACACTTGAGATTACGAGAGTTACAATAGCCCACATGAAATCTATACAAAATTTTCAATTTTCATTATTATTTTTTCAACATAATTTTGATACCAAGGCCCCTTGCAAACTTAATCCAAAAGAATCATTGATTTAAAAGAGATGATCAAAATCACCCAAGATTAAAACCCACGAGCACTCAATATTTAAGAATAAAAAGGAAATACAAATTAAATCCAATTGAAAAATCTATCCTTGTAGTTGAATTTGAATCATCAAAATATCAAAATTAACTAATGTGGATGTTCAGTGGAGACATTTTATCTTCATGTTCTACAGGAACAACTTGATTAACATGATGTTTAGTGGAATTGAGTTGAATACCTTCACTGCCTGTAATATTAACCTGGTTGGTGGTTATAGCTGTCATGATCATATCGGATCTATTACTTTTGCTCTGTATGATCTGTGGCTGAGCTCTGGCCTTACTTTTTAAGAGAAATTCTTACAACTTAACCTGTTGAGTGTACTCCATTTTCAGGAAATTTTAAAAGAATCAACCAATTTTATGTTGCTTGAATATGAAGACTTATGAAGTTGGGATTGCTACGCTCTAGTAAAAGATATCCAATTGTTTCTCATTTCATTTTTTGTTTTCTCTTTGTTTACCTTTCATAGGTTCTTCCTAGATGGGTTGTATACCATGAACTAGTACTCACAGCCAAGGAATATATGAGACAGGTATTCCTAACTGTTAACTAAGTCAAATGTTTCATGACTTCTTGCAATGGATATCTGTCAGTAGCTGAAATTGCATACTCAAATTGCAGGTGACAGAATTAAAGCCAGAGTGGTTGGTGGAGATTGCCCCCCACTATTACCAGCTTAAGGATGTTGAAGATTGTATGCTCTCTCTTTCTCTCTTATATTGGCATTATATTTTTGCAAGGAGCCTAACAACATTTCCATTTTAGCTTTAACTTGATTTAAGTTATTAAGATCTATAACTGACCTTTTAATCAAGTTTTTGTTTGTAATAAATATCATAAAGAATCAAGTTGTAGATTGCATGCGAGCAAGGTCTTGTCGTCAGTTTGTGTATGATAATCCCAGATTTTTAAGAATGACTCATTCTAATTTAGGACGCTATACTGTTGATATATATTTGGCCATATAGTATAACTTAAGGTATGTTTTGGAGTTTTCAAGACAGCAGCAGAATGGAGTGGTCTAGAATTACATAAAGTGGAAAGGTAACAGAAATACTAGTTCATTGTTTGGAAGTTTAACAATTGTACTTAACGTAGTGGTATTTTCTTTTTAAGTAATTATAATTCTTTAAGTGAAGAAAAAAAATAATTCTCATCAATAGGAGGAATGAAATGCAATTGTTAAATTTCAACCATAAAATTAAAATTATTTGAAATTTAACAGTTGCATTTCATTCCTCCTATTGATGAGAAATTTTTTTTTCTTCTCTTTGGGTTAAGGAGTTTGATGGCTATAATTATTAATCCTTTGACAACATTTTACTAATCCTCCTGCTCATTTGAAACCGAATGTAAAAATACTATTGAATCTGTTATTGAGTTAGTTACAAAGGATAGAAGTCACCTATTTATAGGAGACTTAACAGACTATGGCCCAGCAGATGTGCTAGGGCCCAAAACACTAACTACAGATCCAAACACAGAAAGAAAAGTTAATTCATTAATGTTCATTTACGAGGCAGGAGTGTTCTCTAATACTATTCTCTAATATTACTAAATGAAAAAAAGTATTAAATGTTTTATGTTTCAAAGATATTGAATGTGTAACTTAATGTTTTATGTTTAGTTAAATCCTGTATTTCTATTCTATTCTCATATTAAATTAATGGATTGAATAATAATTAGATCAAAGGGGTGGTAATGGAGTTTGAAGTTGCAAAGTTCCACCCCTTTAATTATAATTGTTAGGCTTAAATGTTTTTTATCTCTCAAATTTAAAATTGTTATTTTTAATTTCTGTAATTTTTAAAAATCTTATTTTAGTTTCTCAAGTCACTAATAACATATTTGAAAGTGATAGATCAAGATATTTATCATTTATGCATTATCAGTTAGATTGACTGTGATGTTTTCACTAACAGATACCAGTAAGAAGATTAGATTTTTTTAACAAAATTTGAGTGTAGAGATTAAAAAAGATTTTTTTAAAATTACGTGATTTAAAAGAATTAATTTTAAATTTGAGGAACTAAAACCGTATTTAAGCATAATTGTTAAACTTCCAATTTATGAAGTGGATTTTTTTTTACCTTTTTACTTTATTCAATTCTAGACCGCTGTATTCTGTTATATTGCAATGAGTGGTATGTTTGTTTTCTTGTCTTTGGTTTTATGTTTCATTTAATGCTTTAGAAGATAATAGGAAGATTAATAGGAGCATATTGTGGTAGGATGTAGTGTTTCTCGTTTCATTATATATCCCTTTCATAATTAGACTGCTGGTAAGGGTCATTGTTATACCATGAGTTAATTCATTGAAAATGTAAAATCAGTAAATTCAACAATAAGTGGAAAAAAGTGCAGTTGTAATGAACTTCAATTCAATTGATCTAATGAGTTGTTGAATTGAATTTTGTGGCAGCATCTTCGAAGAAATTGCCACGTGGAGCAGGACGTGCACAAGGGGACAGATAGGTGGCACCTCTTTATATATGCTTTGGGTGGAGAAAGTACTTATTTTATTATCTTTACCCTCCTTTACTTGGTGAAATTAGCCATGACTGAAGATATTTGCACCGGTATGGCCTTAGTAGATATTTGACTTTCATGAAAGTCTCTCTCAAAATAGACTAACTGTAAATGGATTTTTGTTCCAAAAATCATTTGGTGTTTCAGGGCAAACATCTTTTGGAAAAACTTGTTCAATTTCTTAATTACTACGGGATCTTGCAATTGTTTTTCTATTTTTTCATATAGTATTTCTTGTTGTAATATAGCAATTTGATTTTGTTTATAAGAAATTCTGATAAGAAAAATTGGTTTTACATTTTTTATCTCTTTGTATCTTCTTGGTCTTATGAACTCAAGAGGTTATCTTTAGTTCTTAAAATGATTTGTTCAAATTATCAAAGTAAAATTGTTTTTTTTTATAACAAATTCCCTTATTGTATATATTGGCATTAGAAAACTTAAATAACATTTTCATATTGGAATTATTAGTCGTAAAAAGCTTTTCTAAGGTTTTTTCATAAAATTGAGTTGGAATTAATCCTTCTCGAATGCAATTCAAATATCCTCCAGAACCAACTAAATCGGTTAAAGTTTTATGAAAACTATTTTCAATTTTTAATGCAACTTTAGTGGAAGATGATTATTCTTCTTTGAATAACATGTGTTTGATATTTGTTAGAAACTTGTACTTTTCTTCATCTGGAATGTTTTCAACCATTTCAAGAGCTAATTTAGTACTAAACTTAATCAAAAAATTTATATGAACGTTCACAATTTTCTTTATTTGAACATTCACATAACTTTTTTTCTTCACTCAAGGTATTCAAAAGATTGATAACATCTTTAAATTCACCATTCCAATAAGAAGAATCTTCAATCATGAGTTTTGCAATTTGTTCTATCAACTCATTACTCATTTAAATTATTAATCTTTTCTCTAACTTGTCAATTTTTATTCATATGGCTAGAATGTCCACACTTGAAACATAGTAAATTAGAAGTTTTATTACTCTTTTTGTAAGGCTTCTTTCAAGGTTTTTTATACTATTTTTTTTTTTAGAATCTTGAGGACTTAATGTAATTAGGGTTGGACTTTTTAAGGCTTTTTCTCTTATCAATAAAAGGAGGGTTAGGTTTCTCATAATCATATTACGCACAAAAGTTTCATAATTCCGTAATTCCTTAAGCTTGACACTTCATAACTATTCTCAACTTTCATGTTATTATAGATGAAAATTTTTGTGTTTTCTATTAAGGATATAATTCTACCATTGGTTAATTTTGCTAGGGCCGTATTGGGGGTATTCTTATTGAATTCTCTTCTTAATCTTGTTGAAAATAAACTTGGGGGAGTCTTACCATGAATTTTTCTTTCCAAAATAGTTGCTTGCAATCCTTACAAGTGAGAACCATAACCATGAAATTATCACTATACCACCTCAAATTTTAGGGTTAGGCTTTTTAGGTTATGTAACAAGATGGGATTTCTTTCTTGAAAATATTCGTATCTCCAATGAAATTCTGGATAATAGCTTGAATGAAATATTTATATCTACCATTATGGATATTTGGGTTTCTCTATCTATTTTTACATAAGTGGTAATATAGAAGCATCATTCAGTGGTCACGTAATGATTCCACCATCTTTTAAGAACATTGGTAAATCTTGAAATTATGAGCTTAACGTTAATGTCCGTGGTATTCTTAATTCTATTGGTTGAGGTTGCCATAGTCATTTCATTGGTTTTTCTATTGATTTGATGGTCGGTAAAGTCATTTATGTTCCATTATATAATTCTTGCTCCTCCTAAATAAATGGGATTATCTAATTCACATTCTTCAAACTAGATATTTGGAAAAGGTTGACCTTTTATAAAAGTTTCTAGTAGTAGGTTGAGGGGTAAACATATGTCTTCTTTCATGAGCTATCTTATACATGTTGTCATTGAATTGTCCTTATAATTGACCTATGGTTGCAGTTTCCATTTCTTCACTAAGGTCTTCTTGAATGGTATTAACCTTAGAGATATTTAACTTATCAAGTTTTTTTTAATTGATTTCTTGTAAAAACAAATTCAATTTCTTTTCCAAGTTTTAAGTTTTCAAGATTTTTAGAAAAATCTTGTTTAATCTCTTATTTATTATTATTAACAACTTCATTAGCAACTTGATGTAGCAAAGAATTTGTGTAATTAAGCTATGAATGTGTATTTTGAATGTCTTTTAATTTGATTTTATCTTCTCGTTTTTAGAAATTATTTTGAAAGACAAAGCTATAACTTCTTTATTTTCTATATTATGAAATTTTATTTCTTCCAAATGGGAAATTATACGTATAACTTCCTCTTTCGGAGTTTTCCAAATTTACTTTGAAGTTTTCAAAATATTAATACTCAACTTATTCAAACATTTTTGTCCAAACCATTCAAAATAAGGTATAGTTTTGCATATACTTCTAATTCTTCATAGTAACATTTTTGAAAATTACCAAGTTCTTGTGAAAATGTTTTAAAAAATCATCCACATTTTTCTTTATCTTTTTCATCAATAAATTCTTTCTTCAAAAACATCTTTATCAATTTGAAAAGCTTTAATCATGTTCGATTGACTGAATTCTGAAAAAGTTGAAGAATTTTGATTTTTAATTTTTTTAATCTTATATTCAAGAGTTGGTATGGATGGAGCTGAGGTCATGCCTTTCAAGGATAACCCTTAGTTAACAGAAACACTAGATCTAGGTATTTTTAAGGGAGATCTAGCACTATGGTAATAAGATAATCTTGAAAAATTAATTATTCTAAAAGGAGCAAAGGAAACTTCAATTGCTCCTAATTAGTATTCTGCAATGTTTTCTAACTTATGATTCTTAGGGATTTATGGAGATAAGAGATCTTCTAATCTCTATTTAAGTCCATTAGTAATCTCGTCATGTTTTAAGATAATTGGGACTAGAGCATTAATTTTTTCTAGGTTGTAAATTAACAAGGTAGTTTTATCTCTAGGAGACATAGTTAATGTTTTAAGAGACATAGTTAATGAAATTCATAAAATAAATTAAAATATGGTCAAATATAATTTAGTTAATAATTTTAAAAAAATAAAACGTCAAAAATAGTGGTGCTATGGTCTATAGCGGCACTATGTCGCTATAGCCCATAGCGCCACTTATTTAAAAATTAAAATACATAAAAAATATATATATAACATAAAGAAAAAACAGAAAACATAAATATATAAATATAGATTTATATGAATTTCATAAAATAAATTATAATGTAGAAAAAATTAATTTAGTTATTAATTTAAAAAAAATAAAACGTCAAAAATAGTGGCGCTATGACCTATAGCGATACTGTATCGCTATAGCTCATAGCGACACTAGTGGTGGTTGAAAATAATTGATGATGTTAGCCACGTGTCAAATTATCGCGGAATTAATCAATAATAATTTGACACGTGACGTTAAACAGTAAAATTAAATAAAAAAAATTTACCCTTATATAAGGGATTTTAACCTGCTGGTCCCCATTTCCTTTCACCCAAGCCTCCGAGAATCATCATAATCAGTAAGCTATTTTATTTTTCTGTGTTCAATTTAATTATAATTTATTTTGTTATTTTTAAATTGTTTGTAACTTTTATATATTTTAATTATTTCAGGTTATTTCTGTTTTTTTGATATCTACAGAGGTATTTTCTGTTTGAGGTATTTTCTATTTTTCTAGTTTCTGTAATTTAATTAATTATATTTAATTTTTTAGTTTGTGTAATTTAATTAGTTATATTATATAATTTTTTCTGTAATTATTTTAAAGTCGTTATGAGCTATATCATTTTAAATAAATTATATAAAAACTGACTTTATTTAAATTTTAGATTTTATAATTTGATTCTGTGTAATTATTTAATTATAAGTTTTTTTTTTATTGTGAAGTCACTGTAGCCCATACCATTTTAAATAATTTATTTTAAAAAAATATTTCTTTTAAATTTTAAATTTATTGAATTTAATTCTGTGTAAATTATATAATTATATTTATATTTTTTTCTGTAATAATTCTAAAGTTGTTATAGGTTATATCATTTTGATTTATTTATTTAATATATAAATTAATTTAAATTGTTTGTTTTTTAAATTGATTCTATATAATTTAGTTATATTTATATAATGTTTTTAATTTTCTGTAATGATTTTTAACTCGTTATAAATTAATTTAACAAATAACTGTATTCAAAAAAATTATTTAAAAAATAAATTTATTTAAATTTAAAATTGATTTAATTTGATTCTGTGTAATTATTTAGTTATAAGTATTTTTTTTTTGTAATGATTGAGAAGTCGCTATAGGCTATACCATTTTAAATAATTTATTTTAAAAAATATTTATTTAAATTTTAAATTTACTTAATTTAATTCTATGTAATTTATTTAGTTATATTTTTTTTCCTATAATGATTCTAAAGTTGTTATAGGCTATATCATTTTCATTTATTTATTTAAGATATAAATTTATTTAAATTGTTTAATTTTTAATTTGATTCTGTATAATTTAGTTATATTTATATAGTTTTTAATTATATATATAATTTGTTTTAAGGTTGTTTGTGTTATATTACAATTTTTTATATTAGTTTATTTATATTTTATATAATGTATGAAATAATGTGTTGTTATATTTTGTTATAAATGACATCATCTTCTACAGCTATGCGTGTGACATGTGGACCCATTAAGGATGATTTATTGACATTGCAAAATATACATGTTTCACAACATGTTTGAAATAGAGAAGATGATAAGAGATTAATAGCACGATGTGCTGCTCCAACGTGCAATGGAATTGAGGGAGTTTCACATCAAATAGTTCCATTATTAGACCAAGCAGGATTTGGATGGATTGCTCGTTTGAGTTATATCAAAGTTAGTCCTGATTTGTTAACTGCTTTGGTAGAACGATGGAGACCAGAAACACACACATTTCACATGTCATTTGGAGAATGCACAATTACTCTTCAAGATGTTGGTATGCTTGTTGGTCTTCCAATTGACGGTGAACCAGTGTTAACTTGAGGTAGTGCTAATATATTGGGATTAGGTACTAAAATAACTTTACTTTAAGTTAATTTTTTTGTTAGACTAATTGTTTTTTATAATATTAATAATCGGTAAAGAATTTGTTTTATTTTATGCAGCTCATGATTTTTTAGGGGTTGTTCCACCTCAGTCATAAATTAAAGGACATCGCGTTAAGTTATCTTGGTTGGCAACAAACTTTAATGACATTGCAGATGACATGAATGATCTACATCAGTTGCTT